TCTACCAGACAATCTCCAGTGCAGATCAAAACTAATTTCAGCTGCAATGTTCATGTAATGATATGAAACTTAGTGTGATTAGTAATAAAGATAAATATTTTCTTTAAGTTAAAGATTGGAAGAAGTTGCCAGACACAGAAGGGGATCCGTAACCATTTAGTGGATGCTATCTTAGTGGCATTGCTAACTGCTATTACTGAATTTCTTACTCCAGTTTACTTATGATGAATGAATATGTTTCTAAGTTGTATAACATTTTGGAGTTGAGCGCAGATTAAAGCTTATTGACTATATTTGATTGGTTGTTTTCTTTTGTTATATTTGAACATTTGTATGATGTGTTGATCTGCAGTGGCAACAAATTTAACCATTTGTAAAGTTCCATTTTGGGTGCTATTCCTTTAAAGTACTGATTTTCAGTGAGCTCCACAGTTCTCTCATGCTAGCTTCATGCTGTATATGTTTATTGGTTATCCACTCCAGAGAAAAGTTATATACGTATGGCTCTACTACTATGTCGATAACCATAGCTCACTAATAATTAACTTTATTTTTCTATAGAGTTATGCAATCTACTCCACACGTGTAAAGCAATACTATATTTTATTTAATTGTCCGCTATCTGAGGCCATATTTTGCACTGGTTTAGTATTCTACACTTGTTACTATATCTGTGGAATAGAAGGGTTGGATCCATTTATTGTTAAGAAGCAGATTCTTAAGCACCATATTGACTTAGGGTGATGAAGAAACACAATTTTCATTTATTTATGAATCTTTTTATCTGTAGCAAGATGCCCTTTCTCTGCACTACTAAGTTAGCATTCATTCTCTTTCCTTCTCCATTGCTCTGGTGCAATTTGCACATAGTTCTATATCTATAATTAATCAAGGTGCTTTCTTCTCGTATTTTATGTTGCAGTGGCAAGCTGGTTCAAAGCAGCGAGCAGTCCCTGAAGGGTTTGAACCGGACAAAAACAACTGGGGCTGGAAGTGGTTGGATAGATGGATGGCTGCTCGTCCATGGGAGAACCGGTTTCTCGACACTTATGTCAAAGATGGGATGACGACTTCTGAGAATGAGTCAGCAGAAGGGAAGGTTGGAATCAAGCCTCAGATCATATCCACTGTCAAAAAGCCCATTTCTGCAATTCCTTCGAACATCTCAAATCATAGAAGAGGCCCATCTCAATCCGAGGGAAGTGGTTCTTCATCAGGTAAATCCAAGCCAAAGGCATCATATGAGGAGGCAACTGGAGAAGCAACCTCTAAACCCTCTGGTATTGGTCCTCGTTCCGATAGCTTGCCGAAGGAGAGGCCAGCACAGATAAATTCCCAACCTAAGAAGAGGCTGTCATTACAAGGGAATGGTATGTTTATTCAGTCTTTATGAATGTTTTTGTCTTACAAATTTTGTATTTCTTGACTATCTTATCAAATTATATTGCACAAGTGTTGTCTATTGCCTCCATGGTCTTAGGAATTTAATTTCGTGATGTGGCCAGGACAGTCTTCAACTGTCTTTAGCTACGCAGGAAGTTTAAGCGGTGACTGAAATAAGTTGGGAGAAACAAACTGATGTTCTCTCTTTCACATTCATACACTCTTTGACATTCATATATACCTTGGTTTCTTTGGTGTGGTGTTCTCTCTTTCACATTCATATACACCTGGGTTATTTTGGTGTGCAGGGATTTGCTTGAGAATCTATAATTTATATGCAGATTCCTCGTTTCTGATAAGCATAACTCCAGTTATGCATGGATTTTGAATAACCAACAAAGTTACATTTCTCCATGTTCTGGTTATCCGGTACCTGGATTTTCTACGTGCTCACAAAAATTTTGTTTCCAGAAGAGCCCAATTCTTTGCATCTTTCCTTCCCTTTCCACCACCGCCTCTAGATATATTTTCTTCTCTGCTACAACTATTACTACCACCACCACTTTTGTTACTACTATTGTCATTCAACAGCACTTCCATAACTGCGACCACCATCACCATTGTCTCTTTGTTGATTCCGCGAGCACCGTCTTCATGACCATTAGTCTCATCCTCTCTTTTTCCTTGCATCAAAGTATCCTTAATTGAGAAAATTATTGTTGAGGATCTGTTTAACATGCCAGTTACAGGAACTCTATTTTCTTAAGTATGTCCAAATTGTATCAAATAAGGTTATGCAATGTTGCCATATATTTGATGTTTGTTAATTAGATTCCTGCAAATAAGTACAAATGTGTGACACTTGACAACTAATGAAATTTGGACTTCATTGTAATACACGAAAGGGAATAGGAGTAACAGCATTCTTACACGGAGACATAACACAATATATTCTTCAAAAGTAGGGGCCTGGTCAAATGGCTATGCACATTCGTGTTGGGTGCTATAAGATGCATACATGAGGCGTAACAATTTTAGTTAACACTGTTCTGATAAAAAGCAGAAAGAGAAACGAAACAGAACCTTAGTGAGAAACATATGATTTCCTGCCTTAACCCTGGAAAGATAGACAATGATCCAATCTGCTACAACATAATAAGAAAACATGCTGGCGCCTCATGTTGGGAAGGTGTCTAGGTTGTGTTAAAATGGTGTCCACAGAGGGATGATAATAAGCCGGGGATAGGTTGGGCCTTGGAAAAGCCTAGCCCTTGGCTCCAAATATTTTCAGATCTTAAAGTTCAGACCAACCCTCGTTTGGACAGATACCACAGGACCCTGCGCTTACGGGCTTATGATCGGCTTTATTATTTATTGAGATGGAAAATAACAAGCCAACCGAATATTTAAAGATAAAATTCTAAGAGTAAATTAAATGTTATTCTTCTGCAATGTACCCATGATATTCTTCATGCTTCACAACCTGAATTGCTTGGTTACAATATGGAACTTAATGAAATCCACCCGAAATCCATATTCTTCAAACTAATGTTATTTTGAAGAGTTTCCTTTGTTGAATTGCATATGTGATGTGTGTAGAACTTCCTTTTGCTCTCCGATCTCATATTATGCTGGAAAAATGGTGTGATCACTGATCAGAGGGAGGGAGGGAGGGAGGGAGATATCTGTAGTAAAACAAATATAATATAATTACATAATGTAGGCCAACAGTTTTTTCTTACCTCTGGAAGATACTAGTTGGACATTGGCGCAATAGCTACTCTGATGAGAATCTTGCATTTGACGTACTAAATACAAACTCTGTTTTTTTCTTGCTTTCATCTCAGTAACTACTTCCTAAGTCGGTTCCTATAGCTTGGTAGTAACGAGCAATCAAACTTACAGGTCAGGTTTAGTTTTGCCAGAAGTCTAGGTCAATATTTAACGGTTAAGATAGGGTAAAGTTAGACGAGATGGAATGCAGCAGGAAGAACGTGTTCTGTTTAATCCTCCTAATGCTGCTGCATTGAGATGATACACTGACGTGCTTTTCTGAGCTATCCAGAAGTAAGAATAGTTACCTTCAACTGCTTTAACTTTTTTAAAATTGGGCGAACTTCACCAAACTACGGGTTTTGCATAATGCTACCATCAACTTATTATTAGAGAAGACTCTTGAACTTTCAAAACATTAGAAAAATACCATGAGTTACTGGAAACTGTTGCTAACGGCAGATTGGATAAATGGTTTAGACCACCCTTGAGAATAGGAGAGGGGGAGAGGATTAATTAATATATTAGATAGATAAAGTACGTAAGGGCAAAAATTTTCAGAACAATTAATCCTAACTGTAAGTTAGGCATGGTAGATAAGTAGAAAGAGTTCATGATTAGCTTTCTGTTAAAAAAAATCTCTTATGGCGAGTTCATGGTACTTTTGTGAAATTTACCCTTTTAACTTATTTGTTATGTGTTTTCACATTCCTTGTACATCATCTGTTATCTATTTCTATTAAAATCCATTTATCTCATAATAGTTGAGTTTGAATTTACATCGACAACTATTTGCTTGATGTCAAACAGGTGTGGCAGCAGGTAAGCACTCTGCATACAGGAACTCGGCATACAGGAACTCGGCAAACAGGTCATTTAATGCCCATAAGTCCATCAAAGAAAAGACCAAACAAGAAGCAAAGAGTTGAACTCCAAACACGAGAACCAGGATTTTGCCATTGGAATGGATTGCTTCACCTAAGAATCTAATGGTTAATCTTGTGAAGACGACACGCATTGTATGTACATAATGTCATGTTTTACACCAGAAAGTCATAGCGAGAGGACCGACGGAACCATTACTGGTTGCTTTCCTGATAACATTATAAGAGCCAGTACTGTTGTTGTATAATTTGTTGTAAAAGTTACCCGGTCCCTATTTGTTCTCTTTCGGTTTGGGGTTTTTGGGGGTTTCATTGTATTTCAGACTTCATCAGTTGTTGAGTGGCCACCAGCATCTCCATGTAAAAAAGCTGTGTACTTGAATAGTATTAAGTTATAATAATTTATGTTAATAAGCACGCGTTTGGGGTTGAGAAACAATTTTGATTTCTGTGGTGCATTTATGTGTGCTATTTATTTATTTATTTATTAACAATCTAGCCCAAAATTAAATCCGGGACCGTGAGAGTCATTGGAAGTTCTCAATTGTCAAAGTCACCCACAGTATTTGGTTAGCGTTAATGCCACCATAATTTATAGATTTAATTATGGGTTTTTTTTAAGACCCCTTAAGATTTGACAGACGTACGAGAAAGTTCAAAGATGCGAGGTACTACTTTGGGATCATGGAAGATTTTACGGGCAAATATCTAAATAACCGTTTTCAAAAGTTAACGATGATTTGTTGTTGTGGTTAAAAATTTTCAATTACCGGTAAGTCCAACTATTTGACTTTGTTTTCGTAAAAACCCAGCCCGTACCCCCCCCTCTAGCCGTGCGCGGACGCAAAGGTCCAGAGATTCGACGGGTTCACCTTCGGAATCGCCTTTGCTTCCAAGGACTCGTTCTTCTCCGGTCAGACTCAGCTCTCCCCTTGCGATAAAAGGCTCTCTTTGAGCTCCAATGGCGCTCAGATCGCTGTGTTCAGGCCCAAAGTCGATGAGATCTCGCTGCTCACGATCAATTCCACCACTTCGCCTTCGGTGAGTTCTCTAGGGTTTTTGGTTAGTTTGATTCCGTTGAAGTCGTGCTTTTTGACTGGTGGATTTGGATTCTTGTTTTTAAAGGTAGGATTTTGGATTGGATTGTGACTGATTGATCGTCTTCCGTAAGTCCTGGATCTTGTTGAGTCTTGACTTTCTAGGGTTTTGGTTGATTGATTTGTTTGGATGTGGTCCGTCTAGGGTTTCGTTGATTGATGAATATGCAATTAGTTTTAAGTAGAAATTGGGATGGGATTGTGAGTGAATGCTTATGACAAGATTGCATCTTCGAACCTATTACCTGGATCTGTTATAATTGCTGAGAAAGGAGGAGCTTAAAAATACATATCATGCTTATCACTTCACAGATATAACTACAGCAGTATTATTTATCACATTATTATTATTTAATATCATTCATTAACAAACCCACGCAGATTATCACAATATACCCTACAACATAATCATAGTACAACCTGATTATGCACATAATTAATTCACAGCAGATCAAAAAAATTGTAATGACGAGTCAATGAGATAAGGATCTTACCTCGAGGACGTCGAGGGTGTCGTAGAGGGGCAGCGGAGGTCGTCGGGGTGGCTGCGCGATCACAACGGGTTCCGCGGGCTCGTCAGAAGGTCAATCAGTTAGAATACAAAAGAGAGGTGTTAGTAACGATGAGCGATATTCGAAGCGATATAACGAGAGATAGACAATGAGTCCAAGCGAGAGAGATACCGTGTGATAGACAATATAAAGGGCTACACACTGGCGAAGGAATCGACGTAAACGGAGGTCGGAGGTGATCGGAAAGTGCGTGCGAAGTCGGCACAAAGCTACAGTTTCCTGCGAACTGTTTGTCGTCCAACGATGTTTAGGATGATACCGAGAGAGATAGAGAGTGAGTTAGAGTGTAATACAAATTGAAGATGATAAACAACATATAGGGCTACTCATCGGAGAAGACAGTGGCGGAAACGGAGACCGGATGTGGTCGGAAATTGCATGCGAAGTCGGCATAAGGCTGTCGAAATCTGCTCGCTATTCGGGCTCGTTCTTCGCTGTTCAGAGCCTTTCCCTGCTGTCCCGGCTTGTCGGAGATGGGAAGAGGCTGACGGCTGAGGGGTAGCGCTCAAGGGAGGAGCACGAGCCATCCGAGGAGGGCTGTGAGCGGCCGGGTTGAGCGGCGACGGACCGGACGACGACTGATGACGGGCTGGAGGGAGTATTGAGGAGGAGGGGTGACCCAGTCGGGTCTGAGGGAGCGGGTGTGGCTTGAGGGTGACTAGTGGCGGCAGATAAAGGAGAGGATTTAGAGCGGATGACCAGGGGAAGGGTGGGTCGCGGAGGAGGTCCGCAGCCGAGGTCTGGCGGAGGAGTACGGAGTGTGGCAGTTGGAAGGCGGAGCGGAGAGCCGACGGGGGGAGGACGACGAGCAGGTGAAGGAGGGAGGTGAAGGCGGAGGGCGGTGGAGTGAGGCGAGCGGGTGGATGGCGTTCTCTTGGGGAGGGAGGAGAGAGACGAAGAGGGGAGAGAGGGGGTTCTTTTGAGGAGAGAGATGTAGCAGAGGGAAACATGAGGGAGGGGGTGTGTGGGAAATGAGGAGGAAAATAAGTTTGGTAGGGAGGAGAGAGAGTAGAGAGAGAGGTAGAGTAGTTAAAGGTGAGAGGAAAACACAGGAAAAAAACTATTTTCAAAAATAATAATTTAATATTTAAAATACTAAAAAAATAATCGAATCAATATCGAAAAATTTATGGTCATTATATTCTACCCTCCTTAAAATAATTTTCGTACTCGGAATTAAAAAAAGGTTATGCAGAAAGAACCCAAGAACAGAAATATAAACGAGAGACTCAATTCAACTCATATAGAGAATGATTCAAAATAAACTGCATGTTCATAAGCAAAGGGGAATGTAATACAAGAACGATACAAGATAAGATACAAGATATGACAACTAAGATTCATGAAACAGATGAGAGTATCACTGTCGCATTTCAGACTCAGTCTCCCAAGTTGACTCATCAGGAGAATCTGGGTATCACATCACACGAACAAGCGTGACGGTCTTGTTCCAGAGAGTCTTCTCTCTTCGGTCCAGAATCGCCACAGACTGTTTCTCGTATGCCAAATTTGGTTGCACCTTAATCTCCGAGAAATTTATGACATGACTCGGATCTCCGACATATCTTCGCAACTGAGAAATGTGGAATATGTCATGCACTCCAGCCAATACGGGTGGTAATGCCAGTCCATACGCCACTTCTCCAACTCTCTCTAATACGTCAAAAGGTCCCACATATTGCAGACTCAACTTCCCACGCCTTCCATAGCGAATGGTGCCTCGATTAGGGGAGATCTTCAGGAACACATGATCACATGGCTAATACTCCATGAGTCGACGCTTCACATCCGCCCAATGCTTAAATCGGTCTTGTGCTATGCGAAGTCGCTCCCGTATGATCCTGACAACATCAATTGACTTGGTAATCAATTCGGTCCCAAAAATCTCTCGCTCACCAATGTCGTCCCAACTCAAAGGAGCGACACTTCCTCCCATACAATTCTGCGAAAGGGGCCATTCCAATGCTACCTTAGAAACTGTTGTAAGCAAACTCCACCCGATGCAGATGATTTTCTCAGGATCCGTGAAAGTCAAGCATACAAGCTCTAAGCATATCCTCCAAAATCTGAATGGTCATTTCTGATTGTCCATCGGTCTGAGGGTGATAAGCTGTGCTAAAACTAAGACTGGTCCCAAGACTCGCTTGCAAACTCTTCTAGAACTCAGAAGTAAATCGGGTATCGTGGTTCGAGACGATGTACACTGGAACTCCGTGCAATCACACTATCTCCTCCATGTATCTCTGAACAAGATGTTACATCGACTGTCCTACTCGGAATGGAATGAAAAATGAGCTGATTTGGTCAATCGATCTACGATCACCCAAACAGCATCATTCTGTCTAGTGCTCCGAGGTAAACCAATAACGAAGTCTATTGTGACGTGTTGCTACTTTTACTCCGGAATAGGCAACGACTGCAGTAGGCCTGCGATGCGCTGATGCTCTGCCTTAACTTACTGACAGTCAAGGCATTTCGCCAAACTGCGAGCAATGCCTCTCTTCATACCACACAGTGCTTTGTTTGTTAGCAGGTGAAGGCAGAGCATCAGCGCATCGCAGACATACTACAAACGTTGCCTATTCCGTAGTGGAAGTGGCAACACATCACCATGGACTTCGTTACTGGTTTACCTCGGAGCACTAGACAGAATGATGCTGTTTGTGTGATCGTAGATCGATTAACCAAATCGGCTCACTTCATTCCATTCCGAATGGGGCAATCGACGGAACATCTTGCTCAGAGATACATGGAGGAGATCATGCGATTGCACGGAGTTCCAGTGTGCATCGTCTTGGACCGCGATACCCGACTTACTTCTGAGTTCTGGAAGAGTTTGCAGGCGAGTCCTGGGACCAGCCTTAATTTTAGCACAACTTATCATCCTCAGACTGATGGACAATCGGAAAGGACCATTCAGATTTTGGAGGATATGCTTAGAGCTTGTATACTTGACTTTCACGGATCTTGGGAAAATCATTTGTATCAGGTGGAGTTTGCATACAATAGTTTCCAGACTAGTGTTGGAATGACTCCTTTCGCGGCATTGTATGAGAGGAAGTGCCACTCACATTTGAGTTGGGACGACGTTGGTGATCGAGAGATTTTTGGGACCGAATTGATTGCCAAGTTAATTGATGCTGTCAGGATCATACGAGAGTGACTTCGCATAGCGCAAGACCGATTTAAGCATTGGGCGGATGCGAAGCGTCGACACTTGGAGTTTCATCTAGGTGATCATGTCTTCCTGAATATTTCCCCCAACCGAGGCACCATTCGCTTTGGAAGACGTGAGAAGTTGAGTCCGCGATATGTGGGACCTTTTGACGTATTAGAGAGAGTTGGAGAAGTGGGGTATCGACTTGTATTACCACCCGCATTGGCTGGAGTGTATGACGTATTTCACATTTCTCAGTTACGGAGATATGTCAGAGATCCGAGTCATGTCATAGATTTCTCGAAGATTGAGGTGCAATCAAATTTGGCATACGAGAAGCAGCCTGTGGCGATTCTGGACCGAAGAGAGAAGACTCTCCGGAATAAGACTGTCACACTTGTTCGTGTGATGTGGCACCTAGATTCTCCTGACGAGTCGACTTAGGAGACTGAGTCTGAGATGCGACAGCGATACTCTCATCTGTTTCCTGAATCTTAGTTGTTACATCTTATATCTTATCTTGTATCGTTTTTGTATTACATTCCCATTTGCTTATGGACATGCAGTTTATTTTGAATCATTCTCTATAGTCTTTCATTCTATATTTCTGTTCTTAGGTTCTTTGTGCATCACCCCTATTTTAATTCTGAGGATAGAATTTATTTTAAGGGGGGTAGAATGTAATGACCATAACATTTTCGATATTGATTTGAATAATTTTTTGGTATTTTAAATATTAAATTATTATTTTTTGAAAAGAGTAGTTTTTTCTTGTGTTTTCCTCTCTCACCTTTAACCACTCTGCCTCTCTCTCTTTCTAATCTCTCATCTCTCCTCCCTATCCCACTTTCTTATTTTCCTCGTTTCCCAAACCCCCTCCCTCGTGTTTCCCCCGCTACATCTCTCTCCTCAAAAGAACACCCTCTCTCTCCTCTCTTCATCTCTCTCCTCCCTCCCCAAGAGAACGCCATCCACCTGCTCGCCTCACTCCACCGCTCTCCGCCTTCACCTCTGCCTCCCTCC